TACCTACATCCAAAAATCATGACGATCCATCAAACAGTTGTTCAGTTATCCTCTCTCGAATATTTTTAAAGAAACCCATCCTGCAGTTCCAGAACAAGCCGCTAGGGGGCCCAAACTCATGTGACTTCTTCCCAAGCACGAGAGCTACCTATCATCCAAATTTCATGACCCTAGCATGTCCAGATCGCGAGATATCAAAACCGGAAGTTGCGCTGCAGTACCAAGGGAAGCCACTAGGGGGACCAAAATCTAATCATTTCCAGTTTTCGTCACACCCTACCAACACACCAAGTATGAAACCAATCCATCCAGGCGTTCTTGAGTTATCTTGTTGACCAACAGACGGACAGACGGACAGACAGACAGACAGACGGACAGACGGACAGACGGACAGATAAACGCAACTGAAAATATAACCTCCATGACACATTTCATGGAGGTAAATATAACCTCCATGACACATTTCATGGAGGTAATAAATGAACGAGTAACCTTCGAAGGTTACGGCAAGTTGCTGTGTACAAGAATACAAGATATAAGAGTTACAGTAGTTCAAAGATTTAATGCCTTTAAGGTGGAAATTTGCAGCAGAAAAAATGAAGGGAAAAGAATAGTTTTGGTAGTTCTTCTCAGGTAATACTCGTTACCTCAAACTAACATAAGAAATCTCTAAGATTGAATTGTGACCATCTTATCATATGCAACGTTTATGATTATGGATCACGATTATGATTTTGACATTTTGGTTTGTATATTTCTGTTTAGCTATTTATATATGTTGTATCATGTCTTAACTGTTCAGTTATACTGATTTTCAGTTATACTGACCTCTTGTAAACTTTTCTCAGTTATGTTACTTGATCGTTTTATTTACTTTTATACAAATTGCTTTATGTTTATGTGTCCCTGGGCCATCTTGACAATTAACAATTTACTGTTGAAGAGTAAATTCCCAGGTGTTTAGAAGATGAAATAAATAAATAAAAACGTGGCATTTGATAAGAAGGTCGCAATTTTCCCTGCTTAGGTCACACCGACTTAATTTTATGGATGACATCCTCTGAATACCCCCAAACTAGTGCGCGTGGGTGAATAAAAAAAATCCCGGCCAAAAATAAAAATGCTACTAAACCACAGGAATACAAGGGCAAAGCTGGTATTGTGAATCTGCGACAGTACTTAGCGACGTATACGACATGCTGGCTTTTTGCGGCATTTATGAATCGGTACTGTACTTATGTACTGAGCTCTTGAGTCGCGCTTCGAATTCGATAGTCTGGGTGCCCGGCTCCGTATTGTCGCTGACTACCATGGACTACCCAGGCCTAGAGCCAGTCCTCGGTGGACAGGTGAAAATCAATGCGCGCGCGGATGTCATCCATAAAATTAAGTCAGTGTGGCCTTATAGAGTATTTATTTGACCGAGTATGTATTTGGATCGCAGTGAGTACCCTGACCAGCTGACGGTACGTTGCCGTGACGCCGGCCATGACGACTTCACTATCATCGAGACCAGCGTCAGCGGCCAGGACGCAGACAGTTTCGTCGTGGTCGACGCCGATGGCTCCGAGACAGGGCGCGTCAGTCCGATACCATGGCAACGGTCTGACGCAGGAGACCTGGACCTCGACTTTTCCGATGCCTTTGCAGAGTTGTTTAGTACAGGGTCCGTAGAAAACGCGGAGCCGCCGGTAACCGGGTCCAGGAAGGGACGAAGGCGATCTTCAACTTCCCTCTTACTGTTGGAGAAGCCCGACAAGGTTCGGTCCTCCTCCTCGACGCTGATTGGCGGGCTGGATCTTCTCGTCACTGGGGCGGAAACACCCGAGGGCAACCGAACCGTTGCCGAGTCCGACGCGACTTCTGCCGAAGAGAAGCTGTCGGTTGTGCCGTACAAGAGTTTTTTCCAGGACTGCTGTAGTGGCGAAATGAAGGCTATGGCGGGACAAGAAGAAGTTGAGGAGCTGAACGTCTACCGGAGGTTTGGTGTTCCTCTCAGCATGGAGAAAAAAATCTGGCGGCGAGAGAGAAGCAAAAATAAGGGGAAGAGGAAGCTGGAAGGGAAAAGGAATCTCATGCACTTCGGTCCTCTAACCCTGCGTGACACTATCTTACAACAGGTGAGAACTTTGAAAATGGGGAAAATGTTTTTTTTTTCTTTTTGAAGCAGAGGTATTTGGAACTTTCTTTAGAAACCTGGTAGTGCTAAGTCTTTGTACTTTACGATGATATGAAAACTACTAATACATACGTTAGGCCACACCAATTTAATTTGTTGGTTCTCGGATTCGCCTCTTAATTTTTTCTGATTTTTATCTGATAAAGAAAAAGATTCTGGTTCATAATCAACTCAAATATGCTCATATCTTACCCCCAACAGCTGAGGAAAGTTTGTTACAGTTTTTCCATCTATCAATGTAGTGGTTTGATTGAGAGTTCAAAATTCATTGTTTTAATATTAACTCAGACTTTTGTGTTGACTTCATGACTCCTATTGTAGCATTTTGGGCTATAATAGGATGCCTAGACCTGTGTTTTTTTTTCGCCCTGTCTCTTCATATTTTTTCTGGAAAAATCCTAGAACCAAAAAATCAAATTGATGTGGCCTTAGGACACTAGAATTATGAGAGGCTCAAAAGTTTTATCCAATGCCAGTCAGTTACGTGATTTTCAAAAATCCAAACTAGGTTCTTAACTCGGTATCCCAGAAGGCTTTGCTCAAGGTCAATGTCGACGCTTTCCTCGCCTCGCCATGGATCGGTCAGAGTTCACGCGCTTGCGCACAAGCCACCGTCTACCCACCCCCGAGCCTTCACAAGGCTTGTGACGGAGCCTTAGAACTGATGTGGAAGGCTGCTGAACAACGCTTCAAGTCTCTGGAGGTTTGTTATGTTTACCGGAGGAAAGCATCTTGTTTTTGCTACGTTTCCTCTTCTTCTTCCGTTCCAAACACTGACCTCTGACCTGGCCAATGGCCTGATTTGTTGACGTCTCTCACCATGGTAACTGATGTTGGGTTACATAATGTTGCAAGTTTATAGTAGGAGGGATTTATACTCCTGCCTGGTTGGTTTTCGTTTCTGTTCAAGAAGGGGTTTTGAAAAAGATAGCTCATTTTTGAATTCCCTTGTTTGAGACCACTTTCAAATTAGGCCATGCTGATTTGATTATATGGATGACATCCGCGCGCGCATGAATTTTCGTTCGTTTGGAAAAAAAAGTTTTCGACCATACTGTAAATCGTACAAAGCAGCTGTAAAATGAGCAAATATATGCCGTAAATTGCAAAACAAATATTGGAAAACAATACTAATGTCGTAGAATGCCAAAATCCATTCCAAAAGAAAAGAAGAAGATGTGAAGAAATGAAAATGAAGAGTCTATTATTCGCCATACCACACTCTGTATGTTTAGTCATTTGTTCAACCAGGCTGGATCAAAATTAAAACAATGAATTTTGAACTTTAAATGACTGTAACAACTAGGAAGAAAAGGATTGATTTCAACTGTTCAGGGCAAAATATGAGCATTTGCAGTTGATTCTGATTTTTTTTTTCAAATCAGAACAAAATGAAGCGGACGAATCCGTTAACCAAGAAATTAAATTGGTGTGGCCTGAAGGCAACCTTTTGCCAAACTTTTTTTATTCGCACGCTCGAATCAGTTTTGGGGGTTCCCAGAGGATGTCATCCATATAATCAAATCACCATGGCCTTTGTTGTGTGAATCAATATACACATGTACAGTTAAACCAGATTGAATTGTAGTCAAGGCAGAATAAAGGCGTTCTACGGGCAGAAAATTCAAGTGTAACCATCTTTGGGGGGAACTTTGAAATTCGTAAAGCAATAACTCAATTAAGAATTAGTAGTCATAAATTGAATATTGAAACAGGTAGATATTACAATAAAGCCTCTGACCAAAGGTTCTGTCCATTTTGTCCAAAGCATAAAGAAAATGAATTTCACTTTGTATGGAATGTACAAAATGTTATACGTAACAAGCTATTTACATTTCTCGAATCAAGTACAACAGATTTCAAGAGTCTCGATGTTTGAGATAGATTTGAATATATCTTTTCATGTAATGGTTCCCACAACGCAAAAATAGGTAGATATATAAAGGACTGCTTTGTTATTAGACAAAATACCGAAAATTGTGATTAGCCCACTCGATTTTAACACTTTATCAAAGACTTGTACTAGCCCTTATTGTTTTAATAATTAAGATGTGTTAGTTTTTATTCGATATTAGGTCTTATTCAACATATTTTATTGTTTGTTACTCTCTTTATGTAGTTTGCCATACATTGTACCATGTGCAATTGTCGTGCAATAAAGTTCTTCTATTTCGATGTTAGGAAAAACTGCATCAGGCGAGTGCAGAAATCGGAGCTCATGAGAAACGCGTCAAAATGGTGAACGATCACATCAGGTCTCTGCGCATGCGCCTCGATAAGTCACGTGATGAAGTGCCCTCGCCAAAGAAGAGCGCATCTACCAATACGGGTGAGAAGAACTGAAACAAAATTTTCAAAAGGACTCTTTCTTTAACTGAAATCTAGTACATGCAGTATTAGCTGTATCCTGTTGTGTTAGAAAGAAAGCAACGCAAAACATGCTGATATATAATGCAAGTTGCCGTTGAAATAAAAGATTTTTTCATCTTAAATGTTGGTGTCTTGAAAGAGATCGGAATAGACAAAGCACATTAATTGAAAGGAATGACATTTTGTTGCGTATAGATTGTTTCACTTGTTATTTATATTTTTGTTATTTTTTATGTCAGTTCAAATATTTGTCATAATTTCAGCATAATTTGTATGTATTATTTATCATTATTGCTAAAAGTAATTATTATTATTGTTATTTTATTTTATTTTATGTTGCTGGACTCCAGGAAGAATAGTATGGAGTTTACCATACTAATGGTGATGTCAATAAACAAACAAACATTCGAGCCACAACATGAAAAAGGACATAAAAGTTCTGTTTCGTGTGACCAACTGTGTGCACTGAGATTCTTTATAATACGGGAAATTCCGAATGAAATTTTCCATTTAATTCTTCTGTAACGTTTTTTTTTTTGCAGTACCCCACCATTTCCGTGACGTGTCCGCCCAGACCAGCCAATCAAAAATCGAGTTGGGGTCTACCCATCAGGCCCTGCGCGCCGAGAGAGACGCCCTCCTGGAACGTGTCGCGACCCTGACGAGCGCCAAGCAGCAGCAGGAGAAGGCTGCTCGGAAGTAAGTAGGTTCAGACTAAGATGGAACTACTATCCAGCAACGATGGCGCCATAGCTGCATAGCTGATTGATTTTTCAACTTTTTCTGTGTTTTTTTTTCTGTTAGGCCACATCGACTTAATTTCATGGTTGATATCCGCGCGCGCATTGATTTTCGCCTGTTCTAAAAAAAAAGGTCACGTCCAGCGAGGCCTGGCTCTATATATATAGGCCTGGGTAGTCCATGGTAGTTAGCGACAGTACGGAGCCGGGTACCCAGGCCACCGAAGCTCCACGACTCAAGAACTCAGTACATACGTACAGTGCCGATTAATAAATTCCCCCAAAAGCCAGCATGTGCCGGATTGTCGTATACGTCGATATGTACTGCCGCAAATTCACAATACCAGCTTTGTATTCCTGTGGTTTAGTATTAGTATTTTTATTTTTGGCCGGAATTTTTTTTATTCGCCCGCGCACTAGTTTGGGGTCTTCAAAGGATTTCATCAATAAAATTAAGGCGGTATGGCCTTATATCATACTTTGCGTCCCCGCAAACTGCCAAGCAAACAACCTGCAAACAAACGCCTGTAAATAAATGCATTGCTTTGCCCAGGGACGATATTGGTCTGGACAGTAGGTTTTACTGAAATTTGTCGATTTTTTCTGTCTTGCTGGACTTTCCAGGCTGTCGTCTGAGCTGGACCGTCTGAGAGACAAACGTCAGGATCTGGACAAGTATGTGGATGACGTCATCTTCACACTTTGCACCATGGGATACACTGTCATCGAGGACACTAAAGGCAACAGGTGATTCCTGCTTCTAACAAGTTCAATACTTCATTTGTTTGACGGTATATTGCAGACGTATTCTTGTTTAAAAGGTCCAAAAATAGGTACCAACGCAAAATGGCTATAACTTAGTCCACAGCAAGTAATTTTATGGATGACATCAGCCCACGCATTAATTTTCGCCTGATTTTGGAAAAAAACACACAAGAAATTTTGTTGCCTTCTGACAGTGGTCACCATGCCGAAAATTGGCAAATATGTCTGCTGCCATGCCGGAAGGTGGATGGCAGATAACTATAAAGAGAGGAGACAAGAAAAGGCTCTGATTTAATACTCTGTTTCTTACTTTGATGCAGTGATATGTGATGCTGGCTGTGCATATGTGATGTTCCCACTGAATCAAAACCATTTGTACAATGATGGAGTCAGAATCCCCCAAACACCCGAACGGGGTCCATTTGGACCCCAGACGTATATTTCTATGTGCTATTTGAATTTTTTTTATTCTAAAAAAATTCCTCCTGTGACTTTGTCAGTAAACCTCTTCTACAAGTTCTCCTAAATTTTTTTGAGATCGACACAAATTTGTAAAAATAACAACGGAAGTCTTATGTAAGACCGTCTGGGGTCCAAACGGACCCCAGCCATGTATTTGCACTTTTCTACACACGAAATTGTTCGGATGTCCTTAATATGTCTTCAAGGAAGCATTATTGCTTTAATATTATGCAGTTTGCCAAGTAACCTCAACCTCAGGAATTATTTCATCAGGTTTTCAGGGGTTTGACAATTTGACAATCATATGGGCTCAAAGGTCAACCCCATGTTCATACCTGTAGGCCTCATCCTATTTTTGCATAAATTATGATAATGAGCTGGAATTTTTTAACACTTAATCATGCCGAAATAAACGTCTTAATATGTTTAACCAATATATGTGCAAAGGTCACTGAAAGGATGCAAAAAGGAATATAAATTTGAAAGAAACCAAATGGGGTCCATTTGGACCCCGTTCGGGCATTAACGTCACAAAAAAAGTTCGGGTGTTTGAGGGTTAAAATGTAGGAAACTTGTTTTTTCGGCCCGCCTTGTTTTTTTTCGCCCGCTCGCATTAAATTTGGAGCCTGCGGAGGATGTCATCCATAAAATTTACTTGCTGTTGCCTTACCGAGTTTTGGCCAATATTCCAGCCAATCAATCTTTCAATCGAAGACGGGGGACGTACAGGCTTGTAGACACATTTGAAACAATCGTCAATCTGAAAAAAAAAAACAAATCGATTGAAGCCCGACGTCAATTTCTTTCGGAATAAAAGTAAGTTCTTATATCAAGTCCATGAATTTCTTTAAAACAATGCAGAACCGACCTGTCCGCTGCGTTACCGGACTCCCTCTTGAAGGGCAAGCGGGGGAAACATCTCAGGCTCCCGGCTCTCTCTGAGGACCGCCCGCTGAAGATGAAGTCTCAACTACTGGAGATGAAGGTTAGGCAAGGACGATAACATTTTAGGTCACTGAAACTCATTGGATGTATTTTAATACAACGCGTTGCAGATGATATATAACAATCTGGAAAAGGCAATCTTCCAAATCCCCGCCTTCTAAGCTTTAGAATCGAAACATGCTATAGTATAGACGATATGATGTTGAAAGCACCTGTATAAAGCCTTGGTCACAACCCGCCGTACGTGCTTTTTGTCCGTACGTTTTTTGGGAGGCTACGTCTGCTACGTTTTTTTTCCTGAAAACGTGGGGAAGGAGTGGCGTCGACGTACGTCACTCGCACGGTTGCGCAAGGTGTAAGAGTGTGGTCTGCACGCCACGTCTGGCCATGAGCGGTTGCGTGCATCGTTCGTTGCGCAAGTGGTAAAGTGAGTTGTACGTGCTTACAATCTCTGTGCGATTGCCGTTAGGAGGCCATACTCACACGTGCTTCTTCGATTCCGTACGGTATGTACGGGGCACGCGCGTCGCCCGTACTCGCACGCACGGGTGGTGAATCCGCAGACTGCACGCAGAAAAGGTTTTACATGCACTTAAAAGTTCTACGGCGTGTCTGCGTGCTCCCAAATCCGTAGGATTCCGTACGAAGGTGGTACTCCCCACGCACGGATGCCCACGTTTTGCACGTAGACAGCACGCAGAAGCACGTACGGCGGCGGGTTGTGACCAAGACTTTTAATGTGCAGGCTATCTCAGCTTGGTGATCTGAAACGTGGCGTGCTCTCTTACTGCTGTTTCTGTTATCCTAGCTTGAACAACAACAAGGCTTCTTTGTCTTTATCGAATAGGTCCTAAAGACAGAGGCGGAAAAGGCCGAAGCTCAGGCCCTGAACCTGAAAACGGAGATTGCCTCACATGTCTCCGAGGCAACCCGACTCCGCACGGAAACTTCCGAGCTGAAAACAAAAATCTCCGATCTCGAGTCCGAGTTGGCTCGCCTGCGGGCGGAAAATGCCGATCTCGCCACGACAGGTGACGAACTGAAGACGGAAAATGCCGAGCTGAGGAAGAAAGCCGAGAGTGCTCGGGAGAGGAGCGACGAAGTGTTGACGGACATGATATTCCTGAAGGAGGACGTGAAGGAGAAGGGGCGAGAACTTAAGTCTGCTCTCTGTAGGGAGAAGACTCTTGCCGCTCTGCTGCAGGTTTGTTTGTTTGTTTATTTATTTATTTATTGCGATCTCCATTAGTATGGTTAATTCCATACTATTCTTCCTGGAGCAACGTAGAATAAAATAACAGATAAATAACAAATAATCATAACATAATAATAATAATTAGTTTTAGCAATAATGATAATTAATAAAACATACAAAATTATGTTGAATTCGAAATTATGACAAACTTGAAACAAAATCAGCATAGAGAAATAAAAGTGCATTAAAGGTCAGAGGTCAAAAATAGAAATCATATGTCTGAAATGAGAGTAATAATTGATGTACTTTCCAATTAATGGAAAATTGAAGTAACAAAACAGTAAACAAATATTTTAACTGACAAACATAATAACAAAATATAGATAACTCAAATGCAACAATCTATATGCAACAGAATGTGTTTTCTATAAATCAAGTGATTAAACAAAAGACAACAAAAGAAACGAGCTCGCAGCTTAATACATAAATCAATTGATACTCGCCCACAACAAACAAACGGAGGTACGGAGCAACTTCAGGGTCCTAGCTAGTGGTTAGTAATACCACTTCCGAACCTCCAGGTCATGAGGGGAGGGGGTAAACAGCAGTTCTTTGTGATTAGGCCACAGCAAGTAAATTTTATGGATGACATCCTCTGCAGACTCCAAATCTAATGCGACCGGGCGAAAAAAACAAGGCGCGCCAAAAAAAAAAGATTCATACATTTTCAAACTTGACATCATAAACCTTGTTAAACAAGGAATGATACCTATATTGTGCTAAGTTTACTGCCAACTATTACAAAAGCCTGGGGGCCATCCAAACCACGAAACAAATTCACATATACACAGCCACCATCACATTTAAAAGGAATAAAATACTTCACTGCATCAAAGTCAAAGACAAAACATTAAATCCTAGAGCCTTGTTTTGTGTCCTCTCTTCATATTCATCTGCCATCCACCTTCCGGGAACTGGCATGGCAACTGACATCTTTGCCCATTTTCGGCATGTTGACCACTGTCAGAGGGCAACAAAATTTCATGTTGTTTTTTTTCTCCAAAATCAGGCGAAATTTAATGCGCGCGCTGATGTCATCCATAAAAATTACTTACTGTGGCCTTAGCAAATGGGGATGAAAAGGTGCAGGAAATAAATAAAAGTGGCAATATTTTGCCCACAGGAAGAAAATGAGGACCGTAAGAAACTCAGCCAGCAGCTGGCGGCCGCACGCGTGGAGGTGGCGAGCGTGAAGGGCGAGAGAGACGCGCTGGTGGAGACCGTGGAGCAGCAGCGCCGCCAGGCGAAAGAGACGAGTAGTGCAGCGCAAGACAAGGATCGCGACGCCCGCAAAGAAACGGAGAAGCTTAAGGTCGGTGTTATGTTAGAAACAAAATCCCAACGTGCAACGTTCTGTCAATCTTAGGAGTTGTGCTTGGGATTTATTTACAGACGAAATGTGGTGCATAGCTTTGCTACCACACGCAAAAACAAACAAACAAACAAACAAACAAACAAACAGACAAACGAAAAGCACCCACACACTCATATTTACTTGTCACCTTCCGTCGCCGCTTTAGACGTATCTTAACTGAACGTGTGCACGTCTTGAGTAACCAGACTACATTCTACAATTGATGGAGCCTAACTTCCACTCCTGCCATCATCTAGCGCCAGATAGCTGAGTTGGAGGCCAAGCTGCTTCTCGCGGAGACCACCGGAGGTCTGACTGAGAAGTCCTCGGGCGCTAGCTGCGCAACTCCCGCAGCCTTCAACGCGTCATCCGATACTCCTCCTACCACCACCGTCACCACCACTCATCTCAAGGTAACGCCAAGGATCTGGCTGCATGCATATGGCTACTAGTGTTCACCTCCACGTCTATACCTATTCTCTTGTGGTTCCGCTTTTTAGATTTTCTGAATTTGGAAAAAAAATAGTAGGATATATAAATGGTTTTTTTTTTTGCAAAAAACATGCATAATACATAATACAGCAAGTTGGAAGCTTTTTTTGCAGCCGAGAGGCTGAATTAAGCATCTTTTACAATTACTAAAGTATACACGAATAAAAATGTATTGCTCGGCATATACATAACATCACTTGTGCACTGAGACTAATGCAGATTTTATGTTAAAATTACAATTACAAATTCAGTTACAAATTACATTTAGTATTACTGACAAAATAAAATACTATTACATCATATACAATTGAAATAAAATATAATCTATATGGCAAGGGTATTCAATATATTCAGCATTGTGGGAACGGGGCTACTTAATTATTAGACAACTACATGTATATCCTTTATCGAATGATATGTAGTATTGCTACTACTTGCCCAACATCTGATAATTTTCTACCAACCAAAAACGTCTGGTGGTTACTAGGGAACTGAATAAACCTGTATGTTGTAAATGACAGGTGTTACCGAAGGAGGAAGGAAAACTTCAAACCAAGGACCAGGATTCCTCACTTCGCTCACCCCCTTCCCTGGTGCCAGGTGTGGCCCATAGGATGATGATGGGAGCGAGGACGACCACTGCGGAACAGGGTGGGTCTGTACCCAAACAGACCGACGAGGTGTTCTCAGGCTATGGGACGGCTTCACCTGCCAGCTGCGCTGATGGCAAACACCGGGCTGTTCCCGTGAAGAGGAAGCCGTCCTTGGAGAGCAAGTTTCCAACGTGCTGCAACGCCACCCGGCAGATTGCTCAGGTACTACAGCACATTAATATCAATTTTCATGTTCCCCTAGTCCTCTGTTATATCGTCTCTGTCACATTCAACCTCGTCTTTTCATTCATTCATTCATTCATTAATTCATTCATTCATTCATTTAGTCATTCATTCATTCATTAATTCATTCACTTTCATTCACTCATCCATTCACTCATTCACTCTCATTCATTCTCACTCATTCATTTATTCATTCATTCATTTATTCATTCATTCACTCCCACTCATTCATTCACTCATTCATTCCTTCACTCATTCATTCATTCGTTCACTCACTCATTCATTCACTCAGTCACTCACTCATCCATTCACTCACTCACTCATTTATTCATTCGTGCGTTAATTAATTCATTCCTCCTTTCATTTATTCATTCACTCATTCATTCTCATTCATTCATTCATTCATCCCCCTCCAGGAGCCTAAGTCCGCGCGGATCCCCCGGAAGCGCCCAGTCCGCAGCACGTCCGCCAAGAAGAGCCGGTCCACCTGCCCGTACTGCCGCGAACCGTTCCCGGCAGGCACCGAGAAGGCCCGCATCCTCAAACACATCGCCGCGCACTCCAAGAAGTGAGCCTCATGGCATCGCCTGCGACCGAGGCTAGCAAAACTACATGTACAACACTTGCTAAGATTCCTATTCCTATGGTCGTTATCATGATAGAACTTACTCATTTGTTAGCTGCTTCATTCATCCATCCGTCCGTCCGTCCATCCATCCATCCATCCATCCATCCGTCTGTCCGTCGTCCGTCCGTCCGTCCATCCATTCATCCATCCATCCATCCGTCTGTCCGTCGTCCGTCCGTCCGTCCGTCCATCCATCCATCCATCGTTAATTTGCTCATTCGTGTATCAGTATTATCTCATCATTTACCGCACTCTGCCCCTATGGGGTATATTGAACAACGTAACAATTCATTTTATTTACTGATGCCAGCGTTTGTAAGTTTTGATGCACTTTCTTGTCAGTTTACGACATATACCGGTAAATAACCTGATGTCTTGTACAACTTTGCATTGGTAGGAATAAACGACGAGTGCAACATCATCGTTGTAATCCATTGTTTCTTTTCCGTAGAGCGTAATCGGCCGTTTTAATTCTACGTATAGCGTAGACGAACCGCTCGGCGCATTTTGCGTAGAGCGTATTCGCCGTTTTAAGTCTACGTAATGCGTTGTGGCCACTAGGAATTTATCGTAAAGCATAATCGAGAAGTTTCCGAATTCAGCGTAGAGCGTTGTCGGGACCCCCCCCCCCCTTGCAGGCCCCCATCTAATCGTTGCAGTCGCTTTTAAAATCCATGTGACCCAACGTCCCATTTATTCTGATAGCTGAGACGCTAGTTGATGTTATAAGTTAAGTTGCAAGAGACGTATACTATCTAGGAGACATTCTTCTAGAAAACATGAATGTCCTAACGATGTCAACATCAGAGAAAAAAAGCACATTGTTGAATAACATTTTCCGTCGACCTCCCGCAATTCTTATGGACCCTTCTCTCCAAGCAGATTGAGCTGTGACGTTTTTGTCTTCCTTGAGTTTTCTTGCATTAGGACAGTGCTTTAAATAAGACGATAGAACTTTCCATCTCAACATCTTCTTAAACTTACTACTTTACTTAACTTAGTACAAGCTCCCGCTCGAACCAATCCAGAAAGTCTCCCCATAACACTTTATCTTCCATGGCCCTTCGCAAATTCTTTGGTATCATGCAGGTCAGTGTCACATCACAGATTGTCTAAGTAGGTGACTTTGGGTCTCCCTCTACCTCTTTTCCCTTTGCAGAAGGCTCCCAAAGAACCTACTTGGTGACAGGTGGCAGATCTTGGTACATCTGCTGGTTTGTTAGCTTTTGCTGCCATGAGACATTTAGACACATGCGTAGCATGGACGTGTAGCAGCCACTTAGCCTTTGTTTTTCGAGTGACTTTGTTAGGGTCCACGAATCTTCTACTGACTTCTACCTAAATCTGTCTCTGACTACTTTCACTCAGAAAGTCCTTCACTTAGATAATGGACAGCTAAAAGACACTTCATTTAGACAACACAAAGGAAGAGTATCTCGGTAGAATCACAGGCTTATATCAGGATTAGTTGATGATTAACCCCAGCGCCCCCCTGTGGCGAGCGGCGGTATTGCGTTTGATGGCGCTTTTGTTACCTCCTTGCCCTGAGGCTTACTGACAGACTGAGTCCATCACCTATTCAGACTCACCGTACATGAGTCGACAGCTTAATCTTTGTGTTACATATAACCCGTCCTCGGCATATCAAATGCTGTAATTTTGTTTATCTAGGTCGCACACTTTATATAACGTACCGTGAGTGGCTCATGTTATGAAACGATGTTCTTTCCAGGGGTTCTGTTACCTAATAAAGCACCTGCCACATGGCCGAACAATTTTATGGATGGCATCCGCGCGCGCATCGAGTTTCACCTGAAAAGATCACGTCCTCTGGGGCTCTGGCCTGGCTCTAGGCCTGGGTAGTCCATGGCAGCTAGCGACATTAGCCGGTTGTAACTCTGGAGGATGGCACCCAGGCTACCGTTCGAAGTTCCGCAAAAACAAGCATTTGCCGGCTTGTCGCATACGCCGCTATGTGCTGCCGCAAATTCACAATACTAGCTATGCATTCCTGTGGTTTTGTAGCATTTTTATTTTTGGCTGGAATTTTTTCAGTCGACCGAGCGCACTAGTTTGGGGATGCCATTCATAGAATTAAGGCGGTGTGGCCTTAGGAGAAGGTCGGGAGCAAGGTCGGCTGGTGGTCGGCCTTGTCGGCAACTGTTCGGCCGCGTCAGCCGAATGTTTCCAAATGTTTAAAACATTCGGGCAGTTTCGAACACACAAACAATACCGAAAACAGTACCCTTTCGCGGAAGGATATCTCCTCACAACAAACTCAAAGCGTGAAAATAATTCTTGAATGTCGTGTTCGGCTAGTGATGTTTCGATTGGCAACTGTACAATTTGCTAAAATTTCGACGGTGGAGATAGGCGTGAATCTGAGATGTTATGTATACTCAGTCGTACCAATCCCAACATCTGCTTGGAAAAAATAGCACTGTTCCTTGACATAAGGCCACAGCAAGTCAAATTTTATGGATGACATCAGCGCGCACATTAATTTTCGCCTGATGGGCAAACGGCCAAATATGTCTGTTGCCATGCTGGAAGGTGGATGGCAGATAACTATGAAGAGAGGAGACAAGAAAAGGCTCTGAATTAATGTTTTGTTTCTTACTTTGATGCAGTGATATGTGCTGCTGGCTGTGTATATGTGATGTTCCCACTGAATCAAAACCATTTGTATAATGATTGACTCAAAAATTTAAAATGTAGGAACCTTGTTTATTTCGGCCCGCCTTGTTTTTTTTCGCCCGCTCGCATTAGATTTGGAGTCTGCGGAAGGTTTCATCCATAAAACCTACTTGCTGTGGCCTAAAGAAGTGTCAGGAACACGTCGGCAGAACGTCTCATATAAGGCCGTATTCGCGCATATAAGGTTAACATCCCGTCTGTAGTTTCCAAATGTTATGTTGGAAAAGATATCCTTTGTAACAGGCGAAATTCTAATGCAATCTTGACCAAACATGCAACGAAAACCGTGAATAAAATCAGGGTTTTGCGCAGGCGCAGTAAGTTCTGCTGACGTGCTAGTGTGAGGTATGTTGAGCATTTTAAACCGACCACCTGTTTCTCTCCAAGGTTACTGTAGACGTGATCCCCGTGTACGCGTACGTGCGCTTTCCATGGTAACTCTCCCTCAAGACCGGTACCAGTCGGACAACTTTTGCAATGCATCTTAAAGTGCTGTCACTAAGCCATTATTTATTATTTAGGCCACAGCATATAAATTTTATGGATGACATCCTATGCAGACTCCAAGTCTAATGCAAGCGGGCGAAAAAAAAACAAGGCGGGCCGGAAAAAACAAGGTTCCTACATTTGAAAATTTTTACTCAATCATTGTACATTTGTACAAATATACACAGCCAACATCACATATCACTGCATCAAAGTAAGAAACAAAACATTAAATCAGAGCCTTTTCTTGTCTCTTCTCTTCATAGTTATCTGCCATCCACCTTCCGGCATGGCAACAGACATCTTTGCCCATTTTCGGCATGTTTAATTGACTACTGTCAGAAGGCAACAAAATTTCTTGTTTTTTTTCTCTCCAAAACCAGTCGAAAATTAATGCGCGCGCTGATGTCATCCATAGAAATTACTTGCTGTGGCCTTATTGCTGATGTAAAAAAAATGCACTGTGGACAACTCCATTAGACCATGTTGATTTGGCAAAAATGTTACCTTCATTATAAAATCTACGTAGTGTGGCGTAGTTGCAGCGTTCTCGACTCGGAACCAAGAGGTCCCGGGTTCGGGTCCTGACATGCCTCCGATTAGCATATTGTGCACTTAACTCAAGTGAAAATGAGCATTGTACTGTCCTGTATTCGTCCTATTCGTTGGTGGCGGCATAAATAAGTTGATATAACTTGAGTGTGCTGTCACCATGGCTAGTCATGAAATGTTGGAATATATAAAAAAAATCTACGTGAAGGTTGAACAAATGACTAAACAGACAGGGTGAATGATAGACTCTCCAATTTCCATTCAGGCACGTAGATGGAAATTTTAGCCACGTAGGGGAGTCGAATGGTCGTCAGTCTTAAAGGGGCATTATGTACCATTTTTGTACCAAACACTGAAATCTCTTGTTTTAAAGAATATTCGTGTGACTGCAAGTTACTTCCATTTTTCAACATATTTGTGCAATTATCTCATTTTGCATTTTTGGTTGGCGCTAAACAGTCCATACGAGGCACTCTCAGTTTCTGGTGCCACCACAAACTGCTAGAATGTAAACAAACATGGCTGACAGCTGTGTTTCCAGCTTTTAAACACACTGGTAAGGCATCATATTTTGGCACCTCCACTTCATGAATGACACTTATTTACAATGGAGCAGGGTTGGTTCAAATTACTTTGTAAAGAAATGACCAGAAAATCTACTATTGTTACATAATGCAACTTTAATGCGGTTATGTAAAGTCAACTCTTCCTTGACTTGGAGTTAAACCCCGGTCACAAGTTCACACCTGCCTCCCGCGTCTGTTGTGCCGTTGCCATGACGACCATGGTCAGACGACTTTTACCGTGTGCACCTGTGCGGATCCCTACACGTAGGCCTGCCGGTGTGACAGAGATCTCGCACCCCCAGTGATTTCGCACCCCCCGGAGCGAAATCACTAGCGATCTCGCACCCCCCGGAACGATATCACTAGTGATCTCGCACCCCTTTGGTGATCTTGCACCCCCTCAATCGATTTGTTCACCCCGTATGTGTTCTGTTACGGCCTTCGTAATTCACAGTGGTTACTATATCAGATGCTACCTATTAACAAACACTATCCTCTAGTATGACAATACCAATATTCAGTAATTACCTTCGCCAAGAAGGTTATGTTTTCGTGGCGGTGTGTCTGTTTGTCTGTCTGTCTGTTTGTCTGCCTGTTACCACCATAACTCAAGAACGCTTGAATATATTGTCTTGATACTTGG